TTTCAGCCAGCCTGCTGGCCAACAAGGAGTATTTCTGCCTGGAAGGAAAAGGCAGTGACTAAGAGCAGGCCAGTGGCTTGACCAGAAGCAAGAAGTAACATGAAGCCTTCACAAGAAGAGAAAATAGAGAAGTGTAACACAGGCCCATTGGCATCAACTGGCAAAGGGTTCACTATTCTTTACAAGCATCTCCTGTCTCAGACCTGACAAACTCACTACAGCTAATACACCACTTTCATGGTATTTATCCATAAAGGTAGCAATGTGAAGTCTCTACTGGAAGCATGTAACTTAATCAATACTAATTATCATTGAAAGATATGTTTACAGGTAATATTTAAGGTAACTTTGCCTTATCCAATGAAAACTATGCCTTATGGTCTTGGAGTGAAAGTAAGTCACCAAGGAACGATATGCCTCAGTGATGGCCCTTTCAAGTGGTAGGGAGTTGTCAACCCTCCCTGGCTAGCCAATAATATAATGTATTGCTCAATTGTCCATTGTTGCAACAACACAGAAATGTCAATGGAAAACCATCAAAGGTAAGCTATAAACATCAAAACCACTTGGAGGTAAAAAGGAACATTATATCAGATAGGGATCACCCTATCGGTTAAAAAGACAAAAGAGTATCACAGATTGGAAACAGACATTCTGCATCCATTCACTAAGGAGACATCTTGTTGAGCATGACTGTTTCATGAAAGAATGGATCCTGGTTCCTGGGAAGCCAGCCAGCTCTGCAACACACTGAACCGGGGTGAAAAACCTACTTTATTAGATAGGAAAGGCAACTATTAATAAGTGCAGGCCCTAGTTTGCCTTTTACGGTTTTATTTTATATTATAACCATCTGTTTCCATCACTCTCTCGTTTCTAATGGGGAACCTCTATTTTTTCTTAAATAAACTCTCATTTTATTATAAGTGCTCAGAAGTGCTGAGCACAATACAGGAGGAGTGATTTAAGATAACACAAGTAAATTGGGGTACACTGTTCCTTTGGGAGCAGAGGATCCAGGATTTCTGTGAGTAGCCAGTGTCAGGGGCTGCATATCACAGGGGAACACTTCAAGCGGATTTGTTTGCACCTATTGTTAACTTGCAAAATAAAGACAAGGCTGGCATAGTCCCGGGGAGAGTGCTTGAGTGACTGAAAGGCTGGTGGTGTTAGGGAGCTAACACCCAGCTATCAGAGAGGCAAGACTCTCAAGCTAGAGGCAGGAGGTAATAAGGTAACAGCCCTGGGTACCCCAAGGACCATCACAGTAAGCAATCCTGATCATTGACTCCACAGTGAGGAACATGGGTAAATATCTCTGTGGCCCAAATAAAGAGAACAGGAGTCTGCCATCCAGGGCTAGCCATATCACAGTAAGGGTGAGAAGTCCCAAAGAATGCTGAGAATGTCCCGCCATTTGGGAACAAATACTACCGAGTAAAGGAAAACTGGCTCAAGTCAAACCACTACAAGGACCTGGGAAAAGAACGGTCAATGAGGCCCATGCATGTAATTTACTCAGCCTCCTAGTGTTAAGCAAGAAAGAAGACCAATACCGGAGGTCAGCCATGGATGCATCAATAATACTGATGACTCATTTGCAAACCCTGGTGGGGTGGAAGGAACCTCACTGGAAGAGGAGCTGACCACTTTCCCTAAGGGCTCGTGCAAAGCTCAGCAAAGCTCTGTTTAGTCACCATTCCTACTAGAACGTTCTACAGGATGTTAGACAGGAAATAACTTTTTAATGATAACCACTGTTAGCTGGAGTGTGTTTGCACATGCAAAGTTTTTTTCAGAATTAATTTTAAAAGCTTTTCACTTCATTTTTAAAGACCTCAATTCACTACCTGTAAGTGTAGACTTAACATTTACTGATATCTGATTCTTTTTCTGATAATTCTGTCTTCCAATCTAGTTGTTTCTAAGATGTATTATGATATCCAGGAGTCACCCATCTGCCTAAACCCCAGGTCAGGTTTCTGAGTTCCCCGCTCCTCTACCAAGCGCTGACACCACTCTCCAAAGCAGAGTAGTTTCTTGAACATCCAGTTCGGCATTAGGGGTGTGATCCACCAAGAGCATCCATACAAAGCACCACATAAATCCCATATAAGCCCTTAATGCAAGGCTCTCAAGTTGTCCTCTGCACTGGGGTCCATTTCTCCCTAGAGGTCAAATACCAACTGCACTTAGAGGAGGGGAACACAGAAAAGCATATGCAGCTCTTGGCAGGCAGATGGAAAAGAAATTCTTCCTTCAAACAGTTTACAGATTTGGTTGTGTGTCATATTTAAGCCTGCACATATCCCAATATCCAACTGAGATCTTAAAAATCTTCCTAAATTTAATTTTCAAAAGCTTTTCAGTTGCCCTTCAATAGAACAGGACTATACAAACCAATGTATTCCTGAGTCAAAGAGATAAAATCACCCAACTCCCTCACAGCTCCGGTTGCAAGCCCACACCTTGCCTTGGATTGAGGGCTCCATGCGGTCTGCTGGCTTCCTTCCGACGCCATTCATTTGATGGTTTTCTGAATCACAGCTGGGCACCGAAATACACTGTGCCAATTATTCTTGGACATGTACAAAAGGTCATATTTAGATGCCACTTAACTTCAGTCCATGGAAAAAGTGAATTATACACAGATCTACACTAAATGAGATCTGAGCAACAGACAACTTGTGCCACATCTCTCATTTTATGTACATTTTTGGTTTCATCTCACTCCACCTGCCCCCAAGAAGAAACAAAACACATTAATATCTTATCATAATAGTTATATGTATCCTGCTCAAACCCGGTCTCCAGTGATTACAGCCTACCTACCTCAGTTCCCCCTGCAGTTTCATAGAATCATAGAATATCAGGGTTGGAAGGGACCTCAGGAGGTCATCTAGTCCAACCCCCTGCTCAAAGCAGGACCAATCCCCAGTCAGATTTTTGCCCCAGATCCCTAAATGGCCCCCTCAAGGATTGAACTCACAACCCTGGGTTTAGCGGGCCAATGCTCAAACTACTGAGCTATCCCTCCCTCCTAGTTTTCAACAGCATACTACATATGAGGGGCATAGCCATGAGTGGGCCTGGGTGAGCCACCGCCCACCCAATTAGCACGCAGGCCCACCCAAATTTGAGCCTGAGGGGACGTCAAAGTGTACATGAGCTTACTCAATGAGAGCTAGCACATGAAAACAGAATGTAGCGGTGGGGGTGGGAGCCTCGCCACAGAGTACATCCCATCAGAGATACCAGGTACATATTCAAGGCGGATACTCCCTCCTGCTGCGCATGCTGCCGCAGCTACGGATTCATTTTTAGGCATTAGATAAAGCGGAGCTAGCATGGGTACATCTGCACAAGCTGGGAATCACATCCTCAGTTCAAATGTAAATGTATGCCTACACTGGAGCTAGGAGCAGGGTACTCAGGCAGCGAGCCCGAGCTGCTGCCAGTGCTACTCTTAGCTACCCTGTTATTTTCAGCCTGCAGAATTAGTGTGTGTCTATTCCAGCTGGAAAACCGAAGCATGCTCTCAAATGCAGTGTAGACATGCCCCAGGGCTCCCATCCCATCCCAGTGCCAGACTCCCCACCTTGGCAGATGTGCCTGCCTGGGCTTGTGGGCAGCTCCAGAGTGCAGCTGGTGGGAAAGATGCAGAGCAAGGTCAAGAAAGAGAGTGTCCAACTTCAGTGACCTGGACAGATCCTATGACCAGCTCATGGATGAGAAGGTTCAGCATCCACTTAGCAGCAAAGTGCAGGGCACAGTCCAGCTAGGGCTTTGGTCTTCCATGCCCCAGGGACAAATCATTGCTCATCCACTGTAACCTGGGGCCCACCCAAATGTCCACTTCTAGCTACACGCCAACTGCATCTGGAGTCCCTTTTGGACCTTAACTATTGTATATGATGGCTGTGTGCTATCAAACAACTTCTCTGCTTCAGTGGTAGATGACATGACCTGTGTGTATAATTTGCATTTCAAGTTAGGGACCCATTGACTTAAATGGTGCTCCATGTATGCAGAGGCAGTTGCAGGATCAGGCCTACGTTTGTAAAGTGCCTTGGGGGATGTCAGAATCAGAGGCATTGTGTACCATTTTCTGTGTAACTCCTGGATAAAAGCTACATCAGTGTGAGTGTATGGTTGAGAATACATACCAGCAACTTAAGGATAAAACCCAGTATAGGTATTGTAATTACCCCCAAAACAAGCAGAGTCAAGGTTAATTTAAAAGAAATCCAAACATGTTAAGATCTGGAAATGCACAGTTAAGGTACCCAAGCAACCTCAACTCTGCCCCATAGTGATTCTTCTTTTTTCTTCATGATATCATAAACCATAAGCTGATCTCAGGGCAGCTTAGCTTACTCCCATTGGGTGCCTATTTTAAAAGAGGGCATCTGAAAATGAGGACATGTGTAACCTCAGTCTTATCTGAGACTATAGGAGATGGTAACCATTTTCAAAAAAGACAGGTCTTTATGGAATTCTTTTTAGAGAACATTTTTCTTCAAACCATGTTGAAATAAACTTTCAGTTATGAAGAACAATGGCAAAAAATTACCATTAATCCTTAAAAAAAAGTTTTCAAATATAGCCAATACACAAGATTCCAGCAAGTTTCTGCTACATAGGAGTTTGAAGAGCCTGCATTATTCCATTATTAAGATAATTCAGGACCAAAAAAAATCTTGATACTGAGTGCTACGTTTTAAAGGACCCATTTTTACTTCATTGTAATTGAAACTAATTTAATTGCAAAGCTCTGCTCATCCTATGCAACCATGATTAGCCCTTCTATTACATGCATAAGTGTCACATCTCCTATCAGTATAAAGTTTGGGGCATTTCTTCATGTAACTACTATTTCAGCTATGTAACTTATTGAAGAAGAAGGGTTGTTTTGATCACCCTGTAATTTTCAAATTCTACCTGTCTTAGGGTTGCCAATAGTGGTCATCCCCATAGTAGGAGAGCACTGCACAGGTTGATTACATCTGGAACACAAGGGTCAACACAGTGGGCTTAGTGGAGTCTTCTGCTCGTCTCTCACTGCATTCTAAGTTCTTATTGGGAGATTTTTTTCCTTCCTTCTCTTCCCTATTCTAGTCATGGTGCATTCTGCAGCATACTCTAAAGGCAGTTGCCAGACTTCAGATCAGCTTACTTCTTACTTGCTCATTCTTACAAGTGATCCTCCTCATCAAGATCATCAACTCCAGCTCTCACACGTTTTGTCCAGAGTTTTGCAACTGCAATGTCCTAGAGGAAAGCAGTTATCTAGGAGATATGGTCACTAATGTACCTGGGTCCTGACCTACTGATGGCTTGAAGTCAGTGACCAGAGGCTTGAACTGATAATGGAAGTGAACTGGATGCCAGTGGAGGATGCAGGGGTAATAAATTACTTTTCAAAAAATGAGTTTTCATGCAGGAGACTGCTGTCAGACCGACAGCCTTGAATGCTCACAGTCTCTATCTAATCACAGAACAGGTACAGCAGGATTTCACTCACACACTGTCCCACCAGCATGCCTCTGTTGAGCCTGTAGGGTAGCCACAAAGGGTGAAAGCAAACAGTTTATTATCCATAGCCCAATCTGCCTTTGGCCTCTCTATTAAGAGTACCAGCAAGTACCAATTACTACAACTGCGAAGTGCTTCTGTGACATCCACAACAAGCTGGGCTGACACCACCAACCCATTTCCCAGAGGGCAGATAGTCTCCAAGACAAATGAAGTACTAAATATTCTATAGCAAGCTCTACAGCAAAAATTAGAAGATACTAACTTGAGACTATTAATCTGGCCAGGTATATGGTCTTAACAGACACTACACGTATAACCCACAGCTGCGGTCATAACCACAGTGTCACAAATTCCATTCTTTATAAGTCACTCTCCATTCTGGTTGAAGAGGTGGAAGTACCAGTTCTTTCAAAGTCTCCAGCTAAGAGCAATATTCAGTTAAAAGGGAAATAAAGTCGCCTGGCATTTGTTTCACCAAGCCCATGTGGGCAGCCTGGAAACTAGCCATTTTCTCTGCTATGAGTCAGGCCCTATGTTTTGAGCACAGTTGAAGTCACCTGGCAGGTTCACTCTTTAAATTATAGATTAGGAGAGAGGCTATTGTTTTAAACACACTAATTAACGGGTATAATTAGACTAGATAGCCTCTATCAGACATCATGAGAACAATGGGTGCATTCAACTTCCAGGCTATTATAACTATTTGAAACATTGAAACCGACTTTTGTTTTGCCTTGAAAGCAAAATGATAGGGCACGTTAAGAGTCCCAAAAGAGAAGTCAATGCCGCTCTGCAGAGCTAAATTAAGCCCTCCATAAATAATAGTGCACAAGGCTACAAGGCCTGAACTATTCAAATGAGCTTTCTTTCTCTCCATCTTTCAGACACTGCGGTGTTACAATGTGCATTAATTTTAGAGCCCAGAATGTCTAAGGCCCAGCTATAGTTTGCGATATCATAGAAGATCAGGGTTGGAAGGGACCTCAGGAGGTCATCTAGTCCAACCCCCTGCTCAAAACAGGAACAATCCCCAGACAGATTTTTACCCCAGTTCCCTAAATGGGGATTGAGCTCACAATCCTGGGTTTAGCAGGCCAATGCTCAAACCACTGAGCTATCCCTACCCCTATGCTGTGCTAGACTGCAAGAGCTCACTTGATGATTAGCTGCTCAACTGAATTATTTCCTGCCTTTGAGCTATGCCATTTGCACCCCAAGTTTGACCCCCAGTTACGGTGTTTTTTAAACAAATGGCACAGATAACTGGATTGCTCCTGCTATTAGTTCTTGGAATTGAAGTATCCAGGACAGTGCCAGTCCTCCACAGTTGAGGGCTCTTGCAGTTTCTGTCAATCTGCCAGAGCTTGGCACCTTCATGGCACCACTTACCTATTCATTCAGGCTTTTAGCTAGCCACTTGCCACTGCAGCAAGGGGACTCTACTGCCTTTTATGAAGCTACGCAAGTGGATGACTCATTTATTTGAATGGATCCATTTGTAAATCAAGTGAGAGATGTTCAGGTACCACAGCAGCAGGGCTATAAACTCAGCAAGCCCTGAAAACTCTGACTCAAGGAAGGACTTTGTATGCTAAACAAAATAGTAGCTCTGGAGGTTCTCTTTTGCTCTTGGAGACACAGAAGCAGAACACAAAAGCTTATGTAATGTTGTCCCGCACCGAGCACAATGGGGGCCCCATAAATTGTTACACGAATACATAATTTAGATTTTCAGCCACAAATATAAACCTTTAAACATCAGGATATTAAAATGTTAAGCCCCAGAACAAAGTTAGCTCAGGCATGTTGGACACAGCTTGTACTAGTGCCCTTTTTTTAAATGTGCATCTTAATGTATTCAGGGTTCAACACATATCACTAAAATGAAAGGCTCTGCAGTGTGCTCCAGTTACTGTCATTTCAAGAACCTCAGTTTCCAATCTTATACCATGATCAGTTTTTACATATTAATATTCATATATCAGGTAACATTTCAAGAAGTCTATACACTGCCAAAAGCCATCTGCTCCACTGGCAGCCTCCTCTCTTTATATGAGCACAAAAGGCTGCACGCAAGCATCAGGGCCGGATTAACTTTTTGTGGGCCGGGCGCCAAACATATTTGTGGGCCCCCATTGGGGAAATGGGGCATGTGATGGGGGGCGGTCCGCAGAGCGAGGGGCCGGTTGGGGGCAATGAGACGCAGCACAGCAGGAGTGGCCCCACTCAGCCCAGCACAAGGGCACTATTTACAAACCCCAAACTGTTAGACACATACTGGCCTGCCCAGCCCTGCGGTGCCAGCGTGCCCCTTCCACACTGCCCCCTGCCCAGTGCCTTGCTCTTATGCCAGTGCCCCCTCACTCAGAGACTTCCCCCACAGATCCCTATGCCCAGCACCCCCTGCCTAGAGACCCCTCCCGCTGACATCCCACCACAACTACACAGCACCCTGCACACCATACCCCCTGCCCAGCTCCCCCACCCACAGATCCCCTACTGTCCAGCACCCCCTTCACAGTCCCACCATCACAGCTGTATAGTGCCCCATATTCCTGAGGGAATTCTGCATCAAATTCTGTGCATAATATTTTAAAATTCTGATTTTTTTTTATAATAAATAAATGTGGAAGCTCCACCATGGCAGTGGGGAGCACAGGCCACTGGCTGCATGGAGGTGGGAGATCACCCTGCAGCCTCCCCTACCCCCCTGGGACAGGGACTTGACAGTGAGACTGAACCTGACCCTGACACAGCACAAGGGCCAGGCCTGCCACAGAAACACCCTGGGGTGCACCTCACCCTCCCTGATTGAATTAACCTCGTTATCTCCATACTGATTTATACCTGCCTCTGGAGATTTCCCTTACTTGCATCTGAAGAAGTGAGGTTCTTACCCACGAAAGCTTATGCTCCCAATACTTCTGTTAGTCTTAAAGGTGCCACAGGACCCTCTGTTGCTTTTTACAGATTCAGACTAACACGGCTACCCCTCTGATACTTGTTGCAATTGAGTATCACACTGCCACCTATAGGCAGTCTGAGGAGGACTGTCAACATGGGTTGTTGACAACAAAAAGTGTAAGATTAGATAAAAATGAGAAGTTGTTTCTCACTTACCTGCAGTAAAAACCTTTGTGATTTCTACCAGTAAGGTACACAACTGCAACTTCAAAGGCAAAAATAAACTCAAATGGCCGACAGTTACGCATTAAGCATTACAGATGTACAGTTACATCTATTTCAATCCTGCTTTCAACTTTAACAGGCTGAGGAATAGAAGAACTCCCACTCAACCAGTCCATTTCCCTTCTAAAGAGTTTGCAGTACATCAGGGAGGGGATTTACTTTTTACTGATTGTGCAGAATGGGATGAAAGGCACAGCAAGGTCATTTCTCCTTTAATAACTTACATCGAGTTTCATCAATGTTAAAAGGTCTTTCTTAGCAGCTTCGAAGATGGCATCAACTTGTTTGCCGGCACAGGAATCTGGCGCAGCTAAGTCACCCTCTATGTAATGGAAAACCGCAGAGGGAGTTTCTGTCACGGTCACAGTCTTCTTCAATATAGACTTTAAAAAAGCAGAGATGCCAAATGTTATTTTTCATGCTATAATTAGCATCTACCTGGGAAAAAGAAATTGTATTATCATCTATGTTCTCCAGCCTACCACAACTGGTGACCTAGAAATACGTAGGAGTTTTTAAAACAAAAAAAACTCAACTGCTCACTAAATTAATCATCCTTGTGTTTCCCTAGACAGCCGGTCGTTCTAATGCAATAACAGGTTTATTCATCTGGCCTCCCAGAAGCCTGGAAAAGAGAAATAAGATTTCTATCTTTTAAATTTCTCCTTCCCACCCCCCCAAGTATCTCACAAATTAGGCAGCTGCTGCTATGATGGAATTAAGATTTAATTAAAACAGTAAGACATGCAATTACACATGACAACGGGAGTAACGAATCCAGAGAGATAAATGTCTGTGGAGTCTGGAGAAATCTCTCTGAGAAAATTCCAAACCTCACCAAGGACACGAGGGTAAAACTACTTCTTCATCACAGTTCTCAGAAAGCAGGATCCTGCATAGATTGAGTCTCAGAGGATCTAGCACATACTAGTCAAATACAGGAGCGCTTACACAAAAATCCCAGAGGCTTCTGGCACAAACATACTCCACTCTGATCAGAGACCAGCCTGCTAAGTCACCTATATTGTGTGGGTAACTCCCAGAAACTCAGGCCTTCCCCTTTTCAGTCTCCAAAACACCATCATCACCTGCACTGCAAAGTGTTTTTGAGATTGGTTTCTTCGTTTAATCTGGCCTGAAACCCAAATGCAGAAGGAGGCGGGGATGGCCACAGCCAGATGCAGACCTAGATTCTAGTGGTTCTTAACCGGGGGGTGCGTGCACCCCCCGGGGGTGCGAGATGCCCTTTCTGGGCAGATTTTTTTAGAAGGTAAATCATCGAAAACACAAATTAAGCACAGGCATGTAAGTACAACTACTTTGTTTCATCAAACCTATGTACTTATTATTATACATTTTTAACGATTACTGTAATATACAAACAAAAAATATATCTAGGTTTAAAGAACTGACCTACTTCAACGATTTTTGATAAGGGGTGCGAGAACATATTTTGAGAACCAAAGGGGTGCAGGCTGCAGTAAAGGTTAAGACCACTTCTAGGTCCTAGATGATCCCTGACTACCAGCTTCTTCTGTGAGGAGCACCTCCTCTCCCAGTTCTGCTCACCTCCCTTACATAGAACCACCACTGCAGCCTCCAGAGTAGGAGGAACCTTTACCAAATACCAATAGTTTCTCCAATACTTTTACCAAAATTTCAGTTCAAACTTTAATTTGAAAAGATGTATAGTCAGTCAGCTGTATACTTTTGTTCTGAATTGAAACCTGCAGCTCATGCTCTCACCTGGGCTTTTTAAAAAGTTAAAAACAGACAAGTCTTGGAAACAGAAAAGCAGATGAGCAAATTTTATGAGTCACAGGACTGAAAACCCAGTCGAAATCTCACAGGCTGCATGTGGCTTTTGAACTCCTGTTGCTGTGAACCAGTTTTGACAGATAAAACATGATCTGGTAGAAGATTCATCCATTAGAGTAATCCCTTTTGATATGCGGGTAACATCCAAGCTAAAATAGCTACAGCATATGCACTATTACTTGTCAAAGCAGTCTCATATGGACTTTTATCCCATGCCTCAGTACCAGAGTCCTTGTTGGGACTAATGAGCCAAAAGAGCCATTAAACTCTATTGAGTAATTACAAGTTTTAAATACACTTACACAAGACAACTGATCTGCTTCTGCAAACGTCTGGCTTTACATGAAGACTGGATGCTGACACAACCCTCATGGAGAGGGCCAGAGCTCCATCCACATATGTATAAGTGCATGGTTGCAGAATATTTTATGTGACCATGCAATCCGTAAGCACAATCGAATTCCTTATTCAGGTGCATGAGGAGGAACCACATTAAGGGGGAAGGAGGGAAGTGTATCTCTGACATCATGCAGAGAATATCTACCTTGCTCACAACAGGACTGGTCGGAGCTTCATCTGGTGTGAAATGCACCCTGGCTCTCTCGTACGCCATATCCAAGTCTGATTTAGTGCCACTGGAGCTACCTGCAAAAACAAGGAAAGAGGGTTTTTTTTCAAAGCAGTCCCACCACCATGGCTTGGTTAGCCTTCCCTATAGCACCTTGGTCAGTCTTCTCAAGTACGGCAGACACCATATACATCCATAGGCCACTTTTCTTTTTTTATTCTTAAAGTTAAGAATTGCACAGACAGCAAAGAAAATGCAGCCTGATGTTGCAATGTAGCTGGATCATCTTGCAGCTTCTAGAAATTAATATATCCACAAGGGCTGCTATGGGAAGGCTTCACAGACAGCAAGACAAGGAAAATAGCATTAACTTTCTACTCTCTCTGTCAATTTTGCCTTTACTAGAGCAGCATTTTCTCACCAGGCTATCTGGTTCTAGCCTTCTGCACAGACTGTGTGGTTCCATAACAGAACAGTTAAAGTGACCTGCAAAACAACCGCCAGAAATTGACATGTGGAGAGAACTTCATTTAATTTTTTTATCATTCTGAGCAATTGAAGACAACATTTTAAAAAATATATATATATTATTTTATTTCTGAGGGTAAGGAGCTATGTGAAAGCTTGGACTGCCCCCAAGTCCATAATGGTCTCCCATCGTGCTGAGGAACTCCAGCCCGTCCAAGGCAGGGGCATGGGTTATCTCCCCTTTCTCTCTGGCACATCTTTTCCATCTCTTTCATTCTGCCTCTAACAATGAAGCAAACTTGGCGGTTCTGGAAGCCACCAAGCTCCAATGGGGCCATATGGTATTCAGTTATTAACCCCCATGAAAGTCTAGTATTAGCTACCCCAAAAACAGTCACTCCAGCAAAACTTCCATAAGAGCATTAGAAGAGCACCTCAAAGAGAACACGGTCACCTACATGCTTGTGTTATGCCACCAGCTGAACTGCATACATTAAGGCTCTGATCCTGCAAAGCATTTAAACTCATGCGTAAAGCAAAGCACGTGCTTAAGTGCTTTGCCAGACAAGGCCTAAAAAAGGAATCCAGCAATGTGGCACATCTTATCACACAGCCATGAGAAGCATCTCATACTTGGCTCTTTCTATTAAAATCATAAAGCGCAAAGAAAAGGCAGCCCATGGATGAAAGTACTACTCTACTACAATTCTACAAGTCACGTCTTCCCACAACCCTTTTTTGTGCCTGGGAACACCCCCTCTCTTAAATTAAACCATCTTGCTGCCAAAGTGGGAATCAGAAAGGATGTAGCAAGCAAATGTTACCTAGAAAACTTAAAGCAAAGGAACAGAAGGACATAGGCAACTGAGTGGAGCTTCATCCTTATTGGTCAATACTTGCTCACTGCTGACCCACACAGTTCTGGTATGAAAGTCACTGTGCAAGTGTCAGGATACGGGCACACTTCTGACAATATCTCACTGCTTCTCCCTTCCTGAACACTAATTCACAAGAGCAAAGCCATCACTTACAACCATGCAGCCTCGCTCCAGTCAGTAGGATTGCACTTCTGTACAACACATAGTTTGTTTTGAGGAAGGAAAATCTAGTCTTCATTTTGTCTCCCGCAAGCAGAGAGTTGCTATTTTACTTTCACAATTGCTTATTCTATAAAACATTTAGAATAAGGACACGAGTTACTGAAAAGTGATGATAATACTTTGTACTTTGTCAGCTCCATCCATCATGGGATCTCAAGTGGTTCACCTGTTTCTGTTGTCCTTAAATCCAGATCCTCTATATGACATACTTGCCTGTCTGTTCTCTGGAGAGGATTAATGCAATGTGAATCTGACTTTCAACAACAGTTTGGAGGGGTGATACACATGTGTCAATCCATTTTGCTATGTTCTTTGTACATGACCTAATTTGAGAATTGGGAGCAGAGTATGCTCTGCACCCCAGAAATACAGGGAACTGGGGTAGTGGAAAGAAAAATGGTTTTCACAGATTTGGCTGCTTCTAAAGTTATTCCCACAGATTGCTGAGACCTTGTCAATTCTCACCAGCTAAGCAAGATAAAGGATGGTGGGAAACCCTTTGTGTGATACTGATCATCTAATAGGCACCAGTCTTTTCTCTGAATCACCAATTGACATCCCAACATGGTCTGAGTGGTCAATATGCTGCTGGGATAAAATGTAAAATCCAAGGTCTTGATCACTCGTCATTATTAAAGATCTCATGGCACTTTTTGTGTGAGTAAAGCAATGACAGTAGCCACAGTACCACGGGCAAAGAGCAACTACACTTATTACATTCTGCCTCACTCAGTTTCCAGTCACTGTCTAGAGTTCCTCTTCTCCAATTCCATCCTAGACCCTCTCTAAACTGGCTTCTGTTCCTGCACTCAACTGAAACCGCTCTCAAAGTCTCCAATGACCTCGCAGCCAACTCTCAGAACCAGTAATCCATCCTCATCCTCCTTGACCTTTCAGATGTCTTAGACACAGTCGACCATTCTCCTGTCCTTGAAATCTTGCCCCCCCTTGGCTTCTATGACTCTGTTCTCTCTTGATTCTCCTCCTAACTCCCTAATCACTCCTTCAGCATATGCTTCAGAGGATCTTTCTCATCCCTCCCTCCAGCTTTCTGTGGTGGTTCCATAGGACCATAGGATCCTCTTATACTCTACAGCTTATCTCTTGGTAATCTCATCCCCAAACAAATTCAACTACCATCTTTATGCAAATGACTCACAGATCTACCTGTCTACTCCAGACCGGTCTCCTTCTGTCCACATTAAAATCTCAGTCTGTCTCTGACATCTCCTCATGCCTGGCTAGCTGTCAGCTCAACCTCAACATGGCTAAAAACACAGTTCTTAATTTTCTCTCTCCCCTCCCCCAAAAATAAATTCACCCCCCTTCCCCACCTCTTTTCTTGATCCCTGTGGAGCGCACCACCATCCTCAGGCCTGTAATCTGGGTCTCCTCTTTGACTCAGACCTCTCTGTAGGTCCTCACATCCAAGCTATGCCTATGTCTTACAGATTCTTTTTGCATAACATCTTTAAAATACAGCCTTTCCTATCCATCTGCGCAGCTAAAACTCTCTCCAGGCTCTCATCATCTTGCATCTTGATTACTGCAACATCCTTTTCTCTGGTCTTCACAAATACAATTTTGCCTCGCTCATATCCATTGAGAATGCTACTGCAAAGATCATTTTCCAAGCTCATGTTACCGTTTTCTTTGCATCCCTTCACTAGCTCCCTCTTGTCTATTGTATCAAACATAAGCTACTTGTCATCTTCCCAACCTGTCCCCACCCTACCTATCATCTCTCATCCGCCCACGGATTACATTTCTCTAGTGCCTTGTTTTGAAAATTTAAGGGCACTAATAATATGCTGCACGGCTAGACTGACTGTTCTCACTGGTCTACTGGGATTTTGCACAAGATAAATACTGCATTCTGAAACGCAGCTAAGTATTCTTTTGATTTGCCACAGAATTTCATTTTGATAGTATATTTTACAGAGCACAGTGAAAAGCCAACTAAGACAGAATCATAGGGAAATGAACCCAGGTCCTGTATAAAGTGCTTTTAAATATTTTCCCTTCACTCATTCCCATAATGCAGCAGAGAAAGTCCATGCCATATAAAGTGACAGTGGATGCTCTCTGAGAAAAGAGCTCTTATTTTCTCTGCAGACAAATATTAGAGTGTTATTTCAGATCAATAAGGGTGTGGAACAAAGGGAAGTGGGTTACCTTACATCATCCCCCTCCATAATAATTAGATATTTTGTATTTCCTGCAATTTTCCCCAGCCCCTGCTCACCAAGAGCCTCTGCTGATCCAGAAGAGGATGTCAAAGAAACTCTTCTTTTGAGAAGGTTCTCAGAATTCTCTGTACCTGAAGTCTTCACTGTGTCTGACATTTAAGAACAGAATAAAGGTTATCACAGATTTAAACATGTAGTACACCCCAACAAAACGAAGTACGAAGAACAGGTGCCTTCACCCACACAATGCACATACTGTGCAATGTCTAAACATATCACCTTAGGATTTGATTTTATTAACAACTAAGTCAAAAGGAAGAACAAAATTCAGCTCAAACCATCTCACCAGGCTTGGCTCCTCTGAAGGTTATTCCTTCCAGACTGCAGCATCTACACTCTAGATCCTTCCTCAATTTGGAGAGTCAATTCCACTTCCCTCATATTTGGGTGAGTTAATCAACGACCTGCCCTAGTGACAGCCCTGGATTTTAGGTATTAAACTGGAACTCAGGGAACCTGAGTTCAATTCTTGGCACAACCCTTCAGTGTAACTATGGGCAAGTCACAGTCTGCTTGGGCCTCAATTCCCCCATCTGTGAAAGGAGAACAATACCACTGCCATACCTCAGAGAGGGCACTGAGGATAAATTCAGCAATGTTTGTGTTACACTCAAATACTATAATGATGGGGGTCACAAAAGTACAGCGACAAATGGCAGAACCCCATTCAATATTACCTGCTAATTGGGCAAGCTGTTTCAGGTGCTGAAGAATATAGAAATTAAGAGGAGGTTACTCATCTGTACAGTAAAAAATGGTTACTCACCCTTTTTTGTAACTGTTGTTCTTCGAGATGTGTTGCTCATATCTATTCCAGTTAGGTGTGTGCGTGCACCGCGTGCACGGCTGTCGGAAACTTTTCCCTTGCAGCTACCTGTTGGGCCGGCTGTGGAGCACCCTGGAGTGGCACCAGTATGGCGCTCTATATACGACCCTGCCGGCCTGACCCCCCTTCAGTTCCCTCTTGCCGGCTACTCCGACAGAGGGGAAGGTGGGGGGGAATGGAATAGATATGAGCAACACATCTCAAAGAACAAGAGTTACAAAAATGGTGAGTAACCATTTTTTCTTCTTAGAGTGCTTGCTCATATCAATTCCAGATAGGTGACTTCCAAGCCTTACCGTGGAGGTGGGGTCGGAGTCAAGGTATTGCAGATAGAAGAACCACTCTGCCGAAGGCCGCTTCGTCCCGAGATTGGTGGACGATGGCATAGTGTGATATAAAGGTGTGCACTGAAGACCACGTGGCAGCCCTGCAGATTTCCTGAAGAGGTACATGGACCAGGAAGGCTGTCGACGAGGCTTGCGCCCTCGTGGAGTAAGCCGTAATAGTAGGCGGAAGAACTGTCACCAAGTCATAACAAGTGCGATGATATCCGCTGGGAAGATACTGGCAAACCTTTCATCCACTCTGCTAAAGTGACGAACAACTGGGTTGTTTTGCGGAACGGCTTAGTTCGGTCTATATAGAAGGCGAGCACCCTTCTAACGTCCAGCGAATGCAGCTACTGTGCGGTTTTGGGTAGGCATGGCTAACATGAAAGCAGGACACGACCTTGGGAAGAAAGGCCGGGTGAGGTCTAAGCTGCACATTGTCCTTATGAAAAATTGTGTATGGAGGCTCAGACGTGAGGGCCCGCAGCTCAGACACGTGTCGTGCCAAGGTGATGGCCACCAAAAAAGCAACCTTCCAAGAAAGGTAGAGGAGCGAACAGGAAGCTAACGGTTCGAAGGGAGGACCCATGAGGCGAGAAAAGACTAAATTAAAGGTCCCAGGCTGGAACAGGGGGCTTCATCGGGGGATGAATCTTTTCCAAACCTTTCACGAAATGTCCCACGATGGGGTGCGCAAACACCAAGCGCCTGGAAACACTGGGATGAAAAGCCGATATAGCCGTGAGATGGACCTTGAGAGAACCAAATGCCAGGCACTGGTCTTTCAAGTGCAGGAGATAATCCAGGATACACAGGATTGAAGCCTGGAGTGGAAGCACCTGCCTTTGGGCACACCAGATAGAAAACCTCTTCCATTTCGCTTTTTAAGTGGCTCTGGTGGATGGCTTGCAGCTCTCCAGAAGCACCTGCCTCACTGAGTCCGAACAGGCAAGTTCTGCCTGGTTCAACCACGAATCTTCCAGGCCATGAGGTGGAGCAACTGAAGGTCCAGGTGAAGGAGGCGGCCATGATTCTGCAAGATGAGGTCGGGAACGAGAGGCAGACGTACTGGGGACGGGACTGGACCGACAGGTCCATGGGGGTGGGGTACCAGCACTGGTGAGGCCAAGCTGGAGCAACCAGTATGACATCTGCCCTGTCTCTGCAGACCTTGAGAAGCACCTTGTGGATGAGTGGAAATGGTGGGAAGGCATATAGTAGTTGACCGGACCATGGAATCAGAAACACATCTGCGATCGAGCCCAGGCTGTGATCCCCGGAAGGAGCAGAAGGTTGGATACTTCCTGTTGGCCCAAGTGGCGAACAGGTCAATTTGGGGAAATCCCCAACTGAGGAAGATTGAGTGGATGATCTTCAGATGAATTGACCACTTGTGTGTAAGCAACTGTCTGCTCAGGCTGTCCGCCAGCACGTTCTGAATGCCCGGCAGGTATGAAGCTTAGAGAAGGATGGAGTGGGCAAGACAAAATTCCCACAGTAGGAGGGCTTCCTGACAGAGAGGAGACGATCGGGCTCTGCCTTGCCTGTTTATATAAAACATGGCCATGGTATTGTCCTTGAGCACTGCTACACAGTGACCTTGCAAGCGGGGCAAAAACACTTGGCACGCAAGGCAGACCGCCCTGAGCTCTTTGATGTTGATATGCAGAGCCAGTTCCTCTACTTGACATAAGCCCTGAGTTGTCAGGCTTCCGAGATGTGCTCCCCAACCCAGCGCAGATGCGTCCATTACCAGAGTCAAGGTGGGTTGGGGAGGGTGAAAAGGGACCCCGGCATTCACCATGCGGGGGTCAAGCCACCATCGCAGGGAATCGAGGGTATGCCTTGGAACGGTCAGCACCATGTCCAGACTGTCGCGGACCAGGTGATACACGGACGCAAGCCATGCTTGCAGAGGCCCAAGTCACAATCTGGCATGCAGAATACCATGTGGCCCAGCAGTCTGAGGCACTGCCTCGCCGTGGTGGTGAGAAAACTGCAAAAGCTGCTGATTATCAGTGAGAGGGCCAGACGCTGCACCTCTGGGAGGAACGCTCTCGCTTGATTGGCATCGAGAACTGCCCCAATGAACTCTAGTCTCTGAGTCGGGGTGAGGACGGATTTGCTGACGTCGAGAATGATGCTTAGGCGTTCAAACATGTCCCTCACCATTTGCAGCTGCGATTCTACCTGCTGACAAGAACGGCCTCAGAGGAGCCAGTCATCCAGGTAAGGGTAGACATGCACAGGATGGCGGCGAAGGAAGGCTGCCATGACCGCCATGCACTTGGTGAAGACGCGAGGAGCCATGCATAGACCGAATGGGAGAGCCGTGAATTGATAATGCACCTTGTTTACCACGAAGTGGAGGAACCGTCTGTGAGATCGGGTGATAGATATGTGAAAATAGGTGTTCTTCATATCGAGGGCGGCATACCAGTCTCCTAGATCCAGACAGGGAATGATTGTGCTCAAGGAGACCATGCAGAACTTCAGGCTGTCGATGAACTTGTTGAGTTCCCTTAGGTCCAGAATTGGCCTCAGGTCTCCCTTTGCTTTGGGGACGAGGAAGTAACGGGAGTAGAAACCCTTGCCTTTGAGCTCCTGGGGCACCTCCTCCACTGCTCCTAGAGCGAGGAGGGTTTGAACCTCCTGGATGAGAAGTTGCTCATGAGAGGGGTCCCTGAAGAGGGACGGGCAAGGGGGATGGGAGGGTGGGAAGGAGCAGAAGTGGATAGAATATCCCGCTTCTAGTGTACATCAGTCTGATGTAATAAGGGACCATGCACAGTAGAACATAACATAAGAATGGCCGTACTGGGTCAGGCCAAAGGTCCATCTAGCCCAGTATCCTGTCTACTGACAGTGGCCAATGCCAGGTGCCCCAGAGGGAGTGAACCCAGCAGGCAATGATCAAGTGATCTCTCTCCTGCCATCCATCTCCACCCTCTGACAAACAGAGGCTAGGGACACCATTCCTTACCCATCCTGGCTAATATCCATTAACGGACTTAACCTCCATGAATTTATGCAGTTCTCTTTTAAACGCTGTTATAGTCCTAGCCTTCACAACCTCCTCAGGCAAAGAGTTCCACAAGTTGACTGTGCACTGTGTGAAGAAGAACTTCCTTATTTGTTTTAAACCTGCTGCCCATTAATTTCATTTGGTGGCCCCTAGTTCTTGTATTATGGGAACAAGTAAATAACTTTTCCTTATCCACTTTCTCCACATCACTCATGATTTTATATACCTCTATCATATCCCCCCTTAGTCTCCTCTTTTCCAAGCTGAAAAGTCCTAGCCTCTTTAATCTCTCCTCATATGGGACCCGTTCCAAACCCCTAATCATTTTAGTTGCCCTTCTCTGATCCTTTTCTAATGCCAGTATATCTTTTTTGAGATGAGGAGACCACATCTGTACGCAGTATTCAAGATGTGGGCGTACCATGGATTTATATAAGGGCAATAAGATACTCTCCGTCTTATTTTCTATCCCCTTTTTAATGATTCCTAACATCCTGTTTGCTTTTTTGACCGCCGCTACAAACTGCGTGGACGTCTTCAGCAAACTATCCACGATGACTCCAAGATCTTTTTTCCTGATTCGTTGTAGCTAAATTAGCCCCCATCATATTGTATGTACAGTTGGGGTTATTTCTTCCAATGTGCATTACTTTACATTTATCCACATTACATTTCATTTGCCATTTTGTTGCCCAATCACTTAGTTTTGTGAGATCTTTTTGAAGTTCTTCACAGTCTGCTTTGGTCCTAACTATCTTGAGCAGTTCAGTATCATCTGCAAACTTTGCCACCTCACTTTTTACCCCTTTCTCCAGATCATTTATGAATAAGTTGAATAGGATTGGTCCTAGGACTGACCCTTGGGGGACACCACTTGTTACCCCTCTCCATTCTGAGAATTTACCATTT